TGTCGAACCGTGACGTCACCTGATATGCCAGCTTGGCAGCTGAGCAGAGCAGTAGACAAAACATGAAGAAAATAATGTGTGTGGCTGTAGCTTTATTTGGCTTTATCCTTACTAAGTATCTTAACTTCCTACTTTATGCATTTTAGCTGTTGCTCTTGTTCTTGTTCTGCATTTTCCTCAATTTCTTCATTCTCTTCTTTCAAAAGTCTGCTGTTTCCTCCTCCATCAGTCCAGGTGTGATGGGGGAATACAAGTTTACTCCTCCATATATTCTTCTTCCTGCACCAGGATAGTTTTTCTCACTGGTGTGCTTTCCTTCGAGTCAAGTAACACTTTTTCATCTTTTTCTGGCTTGTCTGTTGTCTTTCTGGACTCTGCCTCCTTAAACAATGGGTATTTGCAGTATTTCTTGCAAATACTCTTGTTCCTATGGGACTTCTAGTTGTAAAGAGACAATCTGTTTAATGCCCTCTTGCAGCTCCTCCTGTAAGGTCATTTCTGATACTGGACCGTCAAAAGGCGGCACTGCTTCAGTGACCTGTGCCCCCTCATTACTTATTTCCTGGGCCTCTTCAAAACTCTTCGGGACCCATTTTTACAGCTCTGCTGACACAATAAAACATTAAAAGACCGTTATATGAACCGATAGCTACTTTTACAATAAACAGAAAGAAGCATTATAAAGTTTCCATGGGCTTTTTATTTTTGTGCTATTTATTTACGCTGAATTCACTGTTAACAGTCCCCGTTTGCTATGTAATTTTAGGTTTATAGATAATCATCACTTGATTACTTTGATACTGAAGAAAACGTAAAAATCAGATGATTGTAAATTCTAAGGGGTTTCCCATCCATCCATTTTCTAAACTGCTTAGTCCCAAATGGGGTCACGGAGCCAATCCCGGCCAGCTGCAGGTGAGAGGCAGGGCACACCCTGGACAGGTCGCCAGTTCATCACAGATGAACAACCACGGGCAATTTAAAGACATTAATAAACCTATGCTGCATGTCTTTGGGAGGAAGCCAGAGCACCCGGAGAGAACCCACACAAGCACAGGGAGAACATGCAAACTCTGCACAGAAAGGCTCCGGGCTTGAACCCGGAGCCTTCTCGCTGTAAGGCAACAGCGCTAACCACCACACCACCGTGCTGCCCAGGCCTCCTATCCATACTGAAGAACATACCGATACTGAAAAAAAACGTAAAAATCGAATGATTGTAACTTCTAAAGTTATAAGGGGTTTCCCTTTCCTGTAATTTCAAGATGGCACCGACAACATTGGCAGCCTTGGTTACTCGCGCTCTCGTGTTTGTTGTTTTTATTTGTTTTCTCGATCTCTTGCAACCCATCCCGGATTACTTATACCAGAGAAAAACTGTTAAATATCGGACAACTCACACCGAACCACCTTTCTCCAATTTTTGTGAACGAAGAATACTGTATGGACATTCTGATCAGAGGCGCAGCTGCCATCTATGGCACCTGGGAAAAACACAGACGGGGTAAGCGAACAGGCACCTTAGTCAGGCTTTGCCAGAGAGGAACACGGAACTCCACTTCCGCCTATCCATCTAGCAAATCTCCGCTCCAAGATGGATGAAATCCTCATCAACAGGACTGACCCTGACTTTGCATGCTCTGCTGCCTTATGCTTCACGGAGACTTGGCTCAGCGACTCCATAGCGGACAGGGATACCAGGCTTCCAGGTGTACAGAGCGGATCACAAAATGAAGATGTCCAGGAAAACAACAGGAGGTGGAATCTGTCACAGTGCTACAGAGGACATGTAACACACACTTAAACATTCTTTTTATCAACTGCAAACCCTTCTATTCTCCCCGAGAATTTTTGAGCTTCATCCTGGTTGGTGTCTATTTAAAACCAAATGCCCACACTAGCGCACTACAGCTCCTGGCCAAACTGATAACTAGTGTAGAACTGGAACATCCTGACTCCCCATTCATTGTTCTAGGGGACTTTAACAGAGCAAATCTCACCCAAGAACTCCCCAAATACAGGCAGCACATCACCTGTCCCACCAGGGACAAAATCACAAAAGACGCTTTTCGCTCTGTCCCCCGCGCAGCCCTCGGACTCTCAGATCACTATATGGTCCATCTTATTCCAGCCTACAGGCAAAAACTTAAAGCCTGTGGTCAAAACAGTGAAGAGCTGGACTGAGAAGACTAAGTCAAAACTACAGGGCTGCTTAAAATACACAGATTGGAGTGTATTTGAGGCTACAGCTACAGACCTGGACAAAATCAGACACTGTCACATCTTATATCAGCTTGTGTGAGGATGTGTTTGTGCCCAAAAAGTCCTCTGCACATACAACAAGCTCTGGTTCAGAGTAAGACTCAAGCAGCTTCGCTGTGCCAAAGAGGAGGCCTACAGAAGTGGGCACAGGACTCTGTACAGCCAGGCCAGGAACACACTGACAAGGGAGATTAAAGTAGCAAAGAAGATCTACTCTCAAAAGCTGAGGGAATAGGTGTTGGCCAATGACCAGTTGTCTGTGTGGAGCAACCTCAAAAGCATCACTACAAGAAACCATCCCCCCCTACTGAGGGGAGCCATCAACTGGTAGATGACCTGACTACATTCTACTGCAGGTTTGACAATCAATGCTCCCCCCTCACCTCTGACACAGCAGCTGCTCCCCCAACAGTCACCACCTTTCCCTCCAGCCCCCCCACCTATAACGATCAGTGAAAAGGATGTGCGTGGCCTCTTTAAAAAACAAAGGATCACAAAGGCACCAGGCCCAGATGGCGTGACCCCCTCCTCCCATCTTCACACTTATCTTCAACAGGTCACTGGAGCTGTGTGAAGTCCCCTCCTGCTTCAGACGTTCCACCATCATCCCAGTCCCCAAGAAAACCTCCATCAGTGGACTGAACGACTACACAGACCTGTCGCCCTGACATCTGTAGTTATGAAGTGCTTTGAAAGACTGGTGTTGGCCCACCTGAAGGACACCGTAGACCCCCTGATTATACAGATCCGTACAGGTGTCTAATTTTAAGTACTCCATTTTTATCTTGTTTCGTAATGAACATTCCTTTGTTTGCATTGTTTATACGGTTTATTTTGCATTGTTTATTTTGTTATACTACACAGCCTTATGTTGGTATAGAAGATGCCAAGGATACATAGATTTAAGTGAAAACAGATGAGTCACTGTGGCGACCCCTAATGGGAACAGCCGAAAGACAACCTTATGTTGGTATATTGTTTACTTTCCCCTTGCACAATCCTACTTAATGACTTTCTCGGTCTTTCTCAATCTTTCTCAATATAAAGACAAACATCTTGTGGATAAATATTCTCAGTTGGAAGTTAATTACATAGCCTACACTTCACCAAAAGAAATGCAGTCTAAAATGTTAGGTTTGGGCTATATCATATTGATCAATTTTTATTATGCGTTTATTTAATGTGAATGGTTCTCAAGATGCTCCATGACAGCCCAGTGACATGACTTTTGGCTGGATGGGTAAGGGGTGTACTGGTAGCAATATAATTGTTAGTACTGTACCTGCTCAACAGTGTAAACATGTTCTATAAAATGTTGTAATTGAGAGGAGAAAAAAACTCCATATTCTTTTCAGATCAGTTTTATTGAACAAAGTTTTCAAAGATAATGTAGGAAATACAGTATTGTACAAGTGCTGCACAACCAAGACTAACAGAAAGAAGATCTAGAAAATGGAACTGTTAGTGGGCATGACTGTGTAGAAAAAAATTCTGAGGAGTGTAAAGAAACCAATAAAATCTTCCAGAACAATGTCTGCTAGAAGGCATGGAAATCTGTAAAGCAGACCACCAAACACTGATGTGGTCTCAGTTTAGACAGGGGAACAGAAAATTTTGAGAAAAGTGGGTGGACTTGAAACAAAAAGCACAGAGTTCCATACCAAATCTGAATAGCTCCTTCTTCCATGTCGCCTGCAACAGACTCCCACAACATTTAAACATGAAATGGGTGTTTGGAAATCCAGTTTTATCCTTTTTATGGTCTCAGAAATGCAAAATGGCACTCATTTACTGACCCGATAGTGGTTAAGTTGCTTTATGTAGATAACCGCTATCGGGTTGCTTTATGTAGATCTCAAATAATCTAGACATTAAATGTTTTCATTGGTATTTAATGGACTTGAGCTCTGATAAAGATTTGTAAAAACCTAATAATAATAATAATGATTACAATTTTTTTTTCTTTTTCATCAAAGTATGATTTCCTATGCCAAAAATAAAGGTTGGAGCTCAATAATGCATTTATCTTGTGGAATGTGGTTTTGTTACAACATCTCTAACAGATCTTTTAGGGAAATCTCCCAGATGATAACATGAAAATGGACTGCCTAAGTTATTCCTTGCAGTAAAACATTTTTGATAAGCACAGATGGTGGTTTGGCATGCTCATCCCACCCTGAAGGGGTAGCAGTGCAATCAGAAAACAACTCAAAGAAAGTCACTGCTCTTAAATGCTCCAATCTGAACTGGAATGACATTCTTGTGCCAGCCAGTCCTTCCTTTTGTTTTATTTGTTTTGCTGGCACCAACCACCACATCTGCTCATCTGAAGACTTTACATACCTATGCTGCCCATCCACCTGTTCATCTGGGAGGCCAACGGAATTGTATTGTCCCACCAATAGCTTAATTTCTCCTTATTCCCAGTTGAAAAGTGTGTGTAGCAGAGTAATGGCACTACTGAAGAGCTGCAAGTAAAATACTTGAATGCCACTATGCTTCAAATTGCTTAGAAATACTACAGAGAGCCATACCCAGCACCTTATTGATGGGCAGAAAGTTCACCTTTAATCTAACATTCATAGTGGATGCTCCATAAATTCGTCAGGAATGTCAGCATGCAGCCAATCAACTGAAAGCAGAGTGGTGGTACTGTGTGATGTAAACTTAATGTTGACAGTCAAAGTATATCAGCATTCGGTCAATAATCATTTCCCAGCCTGCTAGGAAAAGCATCACTTAATGAGTGCTCCTATCAAAAACCAGAACTTCCACTTTAACTTATATACTTCCAACACTCAGCAGAGATTCACAAAAATCTATAAGTCTGCTGTGAACTCCAGGGCTCAGCCACAAGTACAGGTGAATGGATGCAAAACACTAACATCTGCTCAAAACATGACGTGTGTGGGCTCAGGGGATGATTGTTACTTATTCTGGTATCTGAAGTCTTTCAACACACGACTGAGAGGTTGGATCTGAATCACTGGAGACAGGTTGACCTGTAAAATCTTCTGTGCTTTCCTGCGGGCTTCAGCGACTGAGCGAGAGTCATCCACCTTTATCACTTTCCATCTAAAACTGTTCTTGTCCCTCCAGCTGTTTCTCTGCTGGGATGGGTTGTTCATTTCCTTGGATACCCAACCATCTGGGTGGAAGCCATTGCTCCTCCAGCCGTCACTAGTCAGCTCTGTGTGAGTCTGTGGGAACAGCCGCCCGTTAGCGTAGAAGGCCGGAGCAGAATCTCCAATGAGGGCACCGTCCAATCGGATGGGGCAAGACAGGCTCTTCTGGCTGAACAAGGCCACAGCTTTGGTGGGCGTCCCACCACCATTCTGAGAAGGCTGCAAAGGTATACCTGAAAGCATTGGACGGCATTGTTGCTGTGAAAAGGCAACAGAGGGCGCCTCCAAGGACGAGTCCCAGGTAGTATGGATCTGGAGTCTGGCCGTGTGGAAGCCCGACAGGCCTTCAATATTGGTCAGTCTGAGGCATGGTTGCTGCACCTGTGATCTCTCTACAGTCTGATTGGGTATCCTGCTGCAGACAACGGTATGATTGTCCATTGGCAGCTCTGGAGGACGGACACCTTGAATCCTAGGGTTGCTCTTCTCAGACGTGTTCCAGGATGGGTGCACCTCTCTCTTCTTGACCAGTGCCCTC